TATCTTGACACAGGGGCGCTCACTACCTTCGTGCATGCGCTCGTAATCTCAAGATTAGACCACTGTAACGCGCTCTACGTGGGGCTGCCTTTAGGGCTGATGTGGAAACTTCAAATGGTGCAGAACGCAGTGGCCAGACTACTCAGTGGAGTGAGAAAATTCCAGCATATTTCTCCTACGCTGGCCATGCTGCACTGGCTGCCCATTCTTTTCCGCATCGACTTTAAAGTTTTAATGCTTACTTATAAGGCCCTAAACGGTTTAGGACCTTGATACTTGGCGGGAACCCCTACTCCCACCAAGATCTACCTGGATCACCTGCGTGAGCCAGGAGGTGAAGCTGAGGAGCCTGACTCCAAGAGAGACCCGGAAGGAAAAGACACGAAACCGGGACTTCTCAGCAGTGGCGCCTTGCCTCTGGAACAATCTCCTTCCTGAGATTCACGCCACCCCCACTCTGGGCACTTTTAAAAGTCAATTAAAAACATCGCTGTACATCCAGGCCTTCCCTCTAGCTAATACCTGATTTTTCTGTTTATTCTTCTTTTATTTATTTTCTACTCTATCCTTGTATTGTGTCTGTTATAGTATGATTTGTGTAAAAAAAAATTTCTTTATTTTATTGTTTATCCTATACTGGAAGCCGCCTAGAGTGGTCTATTAGGCCAGATAGGCGGGATATAAATCAAATAAATAAATAAAAATGAATGGCTTAGGACCTCGATATCTGGCAGAGCGCCTTCTCCCACCCAGTTCTGCCAGTCACTCATTCCAGCCAAACTGGGTGGCTGAGGGGCCTAATGCCAAGGGAGGTCCAGAAGGAAAGAACAAGGAACCAGGCCTTCTCGGCAGTGGCCCCTTGCCTCTGGAACAACTTGCCCATGGAGATCATCCTGGCTCCCTCCCTGGGTGTCTTCAGAAGCAACCTGAGACCTGGCTATTTGGGCAGGCTTTCCCTCCTGCTGTATCTTAAGTTCACATTTTACCATCTTGGATTTATAGTGTAAGTTTATTGGTTTTAACTGTTTTTAAAGTTGTAATGTTGCCCAGAGTAGACCTTTGGTATAGATGGGCAGGGTAGAAATTCAATAAAATAAAAATAAAAATAAAATAAATAACATAGCTGTTTGATCACAACTCATGAATAATGTGAATGTGTGCAGATACACACAGCTGTGCTACCAGGGTTGTTGTTCATATGGAAGACTTCAGATATACAACTGTATTCTCTCTGTGTGTGTGAGTGCACACAGACATAGAAACATTCATATTCATACACTATGCATGGACATTGAGGGGGGCCTACATGGTTTGGGTGACTTTGGGGTGGAGCAAATCAACATGCCCCTGTTCCTGGTAAGTTCAATGCCTGAAGAGGACTGTCATCTATATGGAAAGGCATATAGAGAATTGATATACTGAAGGTTGAAATCTCAAATACTTCTGGCTGATGGGTTCCCAAGCTACAAATCAGCAGTAGAGTACATACATACAGAAGGTTGCTGATAAAGCAAGGATAGTCTGAAACCCTGGCAAAACATTAAATCAGATGGGAGCAATGATGTGGTCAAAATGACCAGATAGGCGGGGTATAAATAAAATAGAATAAAATAAATAAATAAAAAGATGAGCCACAGTTAAAGTGGCTCTACAATGTATACTTGTTGCACTTGTTGTTTAGTTGTAAAGTCGTGTCCGACTCTTCATGACCCCATGGAGCATACCAGG